TGGGTTCTCTGTATCCAGTTTATACAACAGTCCAGGCAAGAGCAGTTTCTTGCCCAAATGGCTAACCAACTCCATAAGGAGCCTCTTCGATGCCCAACTTCCTCTTGAAGTAGATTGGTGCTGCCAGGAGCAGACTTGTCTCATTGTTCTAAGTTATTAAAACATTAAATGCTATGTTATGTAGTCTTTGAAAGATATGAAGAATGTCTCTCTGAAATATATCTATGCACATCTAGAAAATCAAACTAACATTACTACAAGCTTGACTATTATCGATGATTACCCATTAACAACCTATATTTTTAATTATACATTGCATTTTTAAATGAACTATACAATCACAATACATCAATCAAGATCAGAAATATATATACATATAACAAAATTGACCTTAAAATCCATACCAATGAAATTATTCATATCTATATCATATCCCCCTTTAAATGTAAAAGAACATTTATAAACAATATCTGGGAATATGTACGTAGTTATTTCTCTCCAAACTTCTTCCTGCTGAATAGGGGCGCTGTTAATCAGGTCTTTCATGGTAAAACCTGTCTGCCAGGTTCATCTCAGTTGGCAGTTGAGTGAAGTAATTTCTTGAGGGTGTTCACAGTAACCTTTCAGGAGGACGTGGTCTATCATACCATATTGGGATAGAAGCAATCCACAGGGTCTCATCCTCTGTGAAAACAAAAGAAGAACCTCCTTTCCAAAGTATCATATCCTTAGATCCAAATTCAGAAGTCAAGGTATTTTGAACATATCTATCTTGGATTAGTTCAGCAGCATTTATAAACAAATATCTTTTAGCAGCTGTTGCTTCTTCCTCAGCATTCAAACAATTCAAAGAGAGCATAATAGCATACAGTATCAAGATTCTCTGTGTATTTTCCATCTTTATGATGGCTTTATTTTAACCTCTATTTCTTTTACTTTTACTTTTTGAGACTGGTTCTCTGTATATCTTTGTCCTGGAATAACTCTGTAGACCAGGCTGTCCTTGAACTCAAGAGATCCCACTGTCTCAGCCTCCCCAGCACTTGGATTAAAGGTGTGTGCTAACACACCTTGAACTCACAGAGATCTGTCTCTGCTTCCCAGGCATTGGGATTAAAGGTGTATACCACCACACGCTATATCTCCCTTTCTTTTTTATTTTTAATGACTTTAACCTTTTAACCTGCATATATTTTTAACTCATAGTAAACCATTTAGAGGTTTTCTTCCTCTTTGAATCTCTTTTTACTGTATATCTCTCTTTTTCTGATCATATGAGTCTAAAACCGTGACTTTGACGGCTAGATCCAGTCCATTCCTTAGCTTTCCAGACTCATGGTAGAGGTACCACTGGAGCCTTTTACTGCCACAACTCTATGGCATTTCAAGGTTCGTGCCAGCAAGCAAGCTGGAGCATTTTGCTCACAGACCACACTCAGTCGGACTGCCTGTCTGAAAGAGTCAGAGATTGCCCTGGCAGGACAGTCCAGAAAGCCGGCATTTTAAAACAGCGCAGCTTTTTTCCTGCTACGGCTGAAAACCGAAAAGCATGCATTCAGCTTTTGATCAACACCGTAAGTGTTTTGTGGCAGGACCTCTTAATGAGCTGCAGGGTTTTGCAGCTAAAGCTGAGTCAAGAAGCCTCTCTTAGATGAGAGCATTTGCTTGCCTCTAGCAAGCAGAGTAGACCCGAGAAATTGTTGCTACCAAGAAAACATGCTTTACTCTATTCTTTCCCAAGCTTTCTCAAGCTTTCTGTGGATTCAGTTATCCACGTGGGCACCATCTGTAGTGAGGAGCTGCGGGCAGGCCTGCTTTTCGCCTCACCCGGCTCCTGCACGGCTAGCTTAGCCCCGGAAATAACAACACACAAATTGTATTCATTTAAGCACTGCCTGGCCCATTATCTCTAGAGAGTTAGTTACTGGCTAACTCTCACATCTTGATTAACCCATTTCTAACCATCTGTGTAGCATCACGAGGTCGTGGTTTACCGGGAGAGATTTAGCATGTCTGACCTGGTGGCTGGCTCCATGGCGTCTGCCTCATAGCCCTCTTCCCAGCATTCTGTTCTGTTTACTCCGCCTACCTAATTTTCTGTCCTATCAAGGGGCCAAGGCAGTCTCTTTATTGACCAATGAAAATAACACAATAGACAGATAACCCTCCTCCATCAGCAAGTAACTGACATGTAAGCAAAGAGAATTTCAGAGTTTCAGCTCCTCCAATATTAGCTTCATGTTCCTGTTCTGTGATATAAATACTAAATATTATCATTAAAATTACGATTACATTACCAATAATCCTAAAAATTGCCAAGTGCTTTTCTTTTACAAAACTCTATGTACATTTTTGTTTAACTCAAAAGAAAAGTTTGAAGTAGGACCGCTTGAACAGGCCACTAGAACTCCACTTTCATCTAGGTTCTCTGTTGTTTACTAGGGTGTGGTTTTTTATTTTTCTGAAAGTGTCTCTTAGTGCTAAAGAGAGTGGACTTTTGCCAAACTTGTAACAAAGCTAATAACATGCCTTTAGATTTAAGACTGTGTACATAACCTGCTAGCCTATCATTTGAGCAGCTTGTTTAAGCTTAATTTACCTTCAAAAAAGCAATGTGACCAACTTTATCATACCTTAGATTTTTCATGCAATCAACTTTTGCTACTAGAGATAAATGCACAGCTTTAATTTTGAGTTATGGACCTTTCCAGGGGTCTGACCCAGAACAAAGTGTGTGTTCATGTGTGTGTCTTGGTACTCAGTTGCTGAAAGCAACAGGAGATAGAAAGATAAATTAAACAATGAATATCACATGCATGTTAGGAGCTACATGTGTACATAGGCTGATAACATCTGTTTTAGGTCATAAAAGCTATTGTGGTTGAGTGGAAGCCATTGAAGTAACTTTTTCCCTTGTAAAACTTTGTTAAGGGTGTTTGTAAAAAAAAAAAATTCCCATTTCTTTCCCTACACCATGTTTTCTGTATTTTCAATAAATATAGAGCAAAGCCCTTTGTTGCAGATGGACACAGACACAGGCATAGTGTGTAGCCACAACTCACTGGCAGTAGTAGAGACAGATCACACACCTATATCACAACACACAGGGACAACCGAAAGGCCAGAATGCAGAGTAGACAGACATGGAGAAATCAAATTTGGGTTTACTCTTGGTCAAGCTGCTCCAAGAATAAGTCACTGTTTTCATTCCCCAATGACACATCAACACATTAGGGCTATATAGAAGCATACTTCTAGGATAAGTGTGCTCAGCTTAAAAACTAATAAGCCCTGAATTTTGATGAATAATGACCATTTTTCAACTGAAGCCTGCATGATCCTTTCAACTGATGACTGCAGAATCTGATAAAAAGGTTGAACTAGGGATGAGAGGTAGAAATAATTTAAATGCAGGGTTGTCTTAATCAGTTCTGTGAATATTTTGGGATGTTTTGTTTGAGGAATTTATATGAAACAGGAATTTCTTATTTCAACTAAGAGTCCAAAATTAAGGGATTGCTCATGGTGAAACCCTTCTTGTTGCACTAAAACTTGATGAAATAAATTATGTGGAACTTGGTGTGTGTGTGTGTGTGTGTGTGTGTGTGTGTGTGTGAGAGAGAGAGAGAGAGAGAGACAGAGACAGAGAGAGACAGAGACAGAGAGAGACAGAGAGGGGGAGAGAGTGGCTTAGAAAAGAGGGGCATTACATATCCAAGGTATGAGCACTTTTTTTCTTCAACAGTCACTGTCACCTATAACCATGAAGCTATCTGAAATTGGTACCAGCTGGTAGAAGGAAAATAAGTTTTCCCCAATGAAATGTAACCCATATCTAATAATCTGTATGCCACCACGAGGTCATGGCTTACCAGGAAAGCATGGCGTCTGCCTCACTTCCCTTCTTCCCAGCATTCTGTTCTGTCTACTCCACCCACCTATGTTCTGACCTATCAGGACAAGCAGTGTCTTTATTAATTAACCAATGAAAGCAACACATAGAAAGAAGACCCACCTACATCAGAGAATAAACCTGTACTGAGCCACAAAATACTGAAATAGTTAAGCAGAAAGCACAGGGGAAGCGGAAGCACCTCAAGATACATACAGGCAAGAACTTATTGGAGACATTTCAATATTTAAGAAACTAAGACCAAGAAATGACAAATGTGATTGAATAAAATTAACCTTTCTGTAGGCTGGTAATTTCTGGCCAGCCTTCCTACTATGGGTCTCAGAACCCTACAAACTTTTCTTTAAAGCACTTGTCAAATTACATTATTTTCTGTAACTATACCTCTGAATTATTATACTGTTTAGTATTTTTCTCCCTTAATCGTTGAAAGTTCATATTACAGTTTAGATAATGGTCAAAGAGGCAGTGTCATAGGAAGTGTAGGCAGAAGGAGATAAATTGACAACGATCTTTGTCATATTTGTGTCTACTAATTATGTGTTATCCTAGCTATTCTTTGTCTTAACGAATGTTCTTGACTCTAAACTGGTTTATCTTAGGACACATTGTTTAAGGACAACATAACTTGAAAATAAAAGAAAACTTCAACCAGCTTTTAATCTTGATCGTTTATAAACTCAAATATAAAGAAGAGGGAACAAAATTTCTTAGGCAAAGTCCTGCAAAGGATGTGACAATGGAGCTTCTTTTAGGCAAGAAGATAGAAAGCAGCATGTCTTCCAGGACCAGAGAAAGAGAGTTTGTGGGCAAAGCCAATTCTATCAGCGTTATGCTGCCCCCTTCTGGTATATGGGGTACAGACTACAAATATAAATGTAAAAATAAAATTATCAACAGTAATATAGGGTTTTAGTTTCCTTAAACACACCACCTCTCTGAAAATGTAATCAAACCATTTTAGAATGCAGTTGTCTCTTTGCCCCCCCATCTCTTTCTCTCTCTCTCTCTCTCTCTCTCTCTCTCTCTCTCTCTCTCTCTCT